GACCTTGGCAGCCAGCCCCACTCTCGCCCCCACGCACGCGCGAATTTCGGCTCCTTCCCGGCTCCGGCTATTATGTGTGCTGCACGCGCGCCCGCGAACGCAGCGCCAACCGAGATATAGACGAGCATAGAGCGAGAGGCGGCCGCGCCGATTTGCCTACAGCCGGCTCGCAGCTAGCAGGGACGCAGTGCAGCCAGTGCGGATTTCTGCCGGATACGCCGGCGCGCCTCCTCTTCTTCGCTCGTCCTCGGGCCACAGTCTACGCCCGAGACCTGCCGCTCGCGCGCCTTCTCCCGGAACCGCCCGCACTTGCCGTTCTCGCTCCGCCTGTTCTCGCCGCCTCGCCTCGTCTCATCCTCGCGCAGGCACTTGCTGCGACCTGCCGGCGCATGCCTCCCGTCGGTGCAATGTACGATCTGCAGCTCAACTTGGAAGGTAACCCAGCTTCGCCCTATTCTCTCTCTCCTTATTTCCCGCGCGTTGGATGGCCAGACGCGAGCGGCTTCTTTCTGGCGCGCTCGCCGAAACCAGCCGCCCCCTTCTCACCGTAATCAGGACCAACCCAATAGGGAAAACATTGAAAACATCGATCGGGGAGCGCATCGAACGACTCGACAGCTTCCTCTCGCAGCCTCGGCTCGCTACGATGGCTGCTAGATTCACTTCTTACTCGACCCAAAGACGTTTATCTGGCAACTTTAACATGGGATCGGCTGGCTATCGCCGCAAAAAAATGTTTTCGCTCTCGCTCTCGCGCGTACTGCACGTACATTAACGTCTTGTCGCTTGACCCACATTTCGATTCACACGCGTCACGCGATAAGAGGGGAAATTAAATCGGTCGACATTTTTTTCGACGACGCACACTACGCTGCATCGCCCGCTGCCTACCGATTCTCGTTACTGATCGCCTTTCCTTCTTGTGCAGCCTCCTTTTCGCGTGCGTGGCGCAAGTCGCGCGAGAATTGGTGCAGCCACTGAAAGTCACCGGAAGTCATCTGGATACACGTTGCACTGGAACGGCGTGTTTTGGAAAGCAATTGGGGATCGCACGAAAGTGCATCCAAGCGGGCGCCGTCTATTATATACGCGCGATACACCAAGCGGAAGTGGCCATACGAAATTTTAATCGGAATGTGTTTACGTATTGTCCGAAACGAACGGGAATACCATAATGTGCCGGAAATTTTAATGAAGGTTCATATTAAAAACGGAAACCTGTTACGGCTCGGTGAAAGCGACGCCAATTAAGAGATCTGGTTACCACTGAAATGCAGTTGCAGTGATGTAGCGAGAATGCGAGATATGCAGGAATCTCGAACTGCCGGTAAAAAAACTAACCGAGTAAAGCAAGGCGAAAGACGTCGCGACGGATTGCCAGAGCGAATAATGCACGCGCAATTGGCGACTGCGAAAAGAGAAGCAAATAACGCGTGACGCGTAGCAGAGCAAAACGCCGCGTGCGCTATTGATAAGTGAAGATGGTGGTAATACGTTGGAGCTTAATTATCAAGGCCGCATAGTGGCACAAGACGAGCGCGAAAGATGTCATTAAATTGCAGCATGTTATCCTCTGCGTCGACGATATATGCCGGTATAATGCGCGCACACATATAGCGCGTACAACAGAGGCACGAGTGGCATTAAAGTCGTCACATTTGCGCCCCGCGTGCATACACCGACCGTCTAAGAAAGGCGAAGGGGGACACACCAAAATGTACGCGCGTGTGCGCGCGCGCGTGCTCATAGCATTCGGCAGTAGTGGCCTCTGACGATGATGTCATTCTACGCAGCTGCGCGCTCGTGTGCCTGTCTATCTTCTACTTTTACGACTCGCGCATGTAGCGAAAATGCGCGCGGGGCTCGTACTATACGCGCGTGGATCATCGTCGCAGTATGAATCATTTCGTCAGTGGCCCATGCCTCTTTCTTCGCCAGCATAACATTTTATTGCTCGTGTTTTTTTTTTTTTTTTTTTTTTTTCTTTTTATTTTTTCTTTCGATTTCATTTTTCACGTCTTTTCAATTCGTACGATCGTGCGTCGATTTCGTCTGCGCAAATGTCAGTCGCCGTAGTTTCTGCGGAGCGTCGCTCGACAATCCACTTCTTCTGTCTCTCGTTTTTTATGCAGATGCACTGCCTGCTCAGCCGATTGTTATCGCGATATTTTATTTCCGATGTGAAACGTTTGCTCGAAATTTGATTGAAAATAAGGTTTGTTTATTTAAGCATTATTCTACAAGTTTCTTAAAAGACTGACTCAACCGGATCTTCACCTAATGGAAAAAAGTCGTTCGGTGCACATGCAACGAAAAAAGTAGCACGTGCCTTCAACCACACCTTTCCGTTTCTACTTGTTGAAAGTATATACATTAGCTATTCAAACGGTTGTTTGAGGAGCTTTTCGAACGAAATGCAAATGGACACCATGGTTAAACTAATACACGCACGCGTACGCACACAGCCCACTAAAGTTTCTCCAAGGAAATGTACACGCGGACGAATTCTCATTGTTCCATCTTTTTATTCATCCGAATGACAAGTCTGCAGACAATGGATCTATCGGCGATTCGCAATCGAAAGCGCAGCGATGAACGATAGTGCAGTAGAATTATTTGTTCTCGGAGACGAATGTCAAGGAAGCGCTCTCACGTGAGATTTGGCCTACATTACGATGTACATGGCAAATAACTACTCGCTCGATGTTATTACCATGTCACCTTGAACGCACAACGACAATCGATGCTCTGCCTCGCGGTTTACCTTCTTCATTAACGTTTGCGCCTGCTGACCTGCCTCCGCTTATCCCGCTGTTATGTCACTCTTCTCTATACCTCTCTTCACTTATCTCATTCCCATCTGTCGTAGCTTCTTGAATGATTCCAATGTACGTCCACTCGGTTTTTTATCTCGACTTTTCATTTCCTTCGACACCTCGACTATCCGTTACTGTCAGTTGTCGATCTTCGACCGAGTTTCGGGGATCAGGCAGTTGCAGCGATGTCGTAACATTGCACGAGCGACGAGCGGATAGTCGTAACAAGAGGCGGGAAATCGGTCGGCCGTGGCGTCACGACGCTCGGCTTCGGAGCTCGCGCACGAGGAGAGAGGCGACCGAGCAGCTGGAGCTTGACATTGAGCCTCTTCGAACAAAGCGGCCGCGCGAGAAAAATCTGTACCGATTTCGTCGACGGGATCGACTCGCACGGCGAGAAATGCGGCGCGCGCGCGCGCACGCGGCCCTGGATAGCGCGGCGACACGTGCGCGCCTCGATCGTCGACTTTGAGCGGTGGTGGGGCCGATTTGACTGCATGCGCCGCCGATGTGCGCGTGCGTCCCTCGATCAGTGCCACGCGGATTTCCCTCGAGTTTTTTCTTCGTATCCCAGTGCAGAGGCAAAGCACCGCCGGGGTCTATAGTTAGAAGTCTAGACGAGAGCCAGTTGTGAAAAGACAAAGAAAATAGATGCGCGGCATCGAAGGAGCGATCCGACGAGTGGCCCCGCTCGAAATAGAGCATCGATCTCGAGCCGCTGCCCAGCTGCGCGAATAGCAAAGAGCGGAGGAAGAGGAGCCGGGCTGGCCGAGTCGCGGCGGCTGGGCTACGCGCGCACCCGGGCCCGGGCCAGTGCATCCGCCGAGCCGAAGGCGCGTGCAGGAGATCCACGTGTACGCGCGCGAGCAGCGCGGAGGCGCGACGGCGCGCTGGTGTGAGTGAGAGAGCCGCGGGTAATCTAGGCTGCGGCGCGCGCGCAGCACGGGCAATAGAGAGGCTCGATTTTTTGGGCGCCTCGGAGCGCACGGCGCGCGGCGAGGTCGCGGTGCTTGCCGTGCGAGAGCTCGTGGCGCAGCTCTCCATTTGGTCGGTCGACGCGCCGCCGAGAACACGCTCTCCGTAGTACACTTGCGCACGCTGCCCGCCAACGTGCTTTCGAGCTTACGCGCGGTCACTGCCAGCAGCCGAGTACCTGATCCACGCTCCTCCTTCGATGTCGTAGCTTTTTAGTGAGCAAGTGACAAGTGCCAGTGAGTTGGAGAGTGGAGTTTGTCGAGCGCGAGATAGACCGCTGGCACACGGACGGACCGGGCGGAGCGGGCCTCGCTGCGGGCTCCCGGCAGCACGGCCGCGATCATTCCCTCGTGCCAGATCCCCGTCCAGGATGCCGAGGAGGGCAGCTCTTGTATGAATGAGGCGGCTCAGCGTAGGAAAAAGCCCCCTCGTCGATTCGTAAGGCCGAACGTCGAGGCGGACTTGGTCATTGGTACGTCAACTCGCATTCAGCGCAGATCCCCGACAATCTTCTTGTTTACTATCTTTGCATGCACTCGCGTCAATTGACGCGCATCGTAGCAGGTAGCAGTGCCGACGTCGCTCGACGTGTCATACGCGTAACGCCTTTTTTCGTGCTGCCGGCAATTAGCCATGGCAAATATTTGCAGCGAGGACGGTGGCAGCGGCTCGTCGAAGTTTGAATGGACGGCGCGGGAAAAAGCACGGGCAACAACAGGTAGAGAGAGAGAGAGAGAGAGAGAGCGAGAGAGCGAGAGAGCGAGAGAGAGAGAGAGAGAGAGAGAGCGAGCGGAACAGAGCGGAGCGAGCGGGGCCTATGAAATTTATGCGACGATTAAAATAGCTAACGGTAGGCCCCCTGCGGCATTAGAATATTGTCTCGGAGGATTTCTGACGCTGTTTCGAGGTTAGTGGAACGCCGACGGAGCAGAGCACGAGGTTGACTTATTAGAAAGGTGGTAGGTCGCGCGGCCGCGCGACGCACTGCCCAGCAGCCGACGAACTTGCAGGCAACGGGTTCCGGCTGGTCCGAGCGTCCGTCCTTTCTAACGGCTCGCGGTCCGCTACTCCTACGTTTGGCCTTGGCCATGCCTCGATCCGTGAGCGCAGCCCGACTCGAGCAGGCGCATAGATGGCGCGTACGAGCGGCCTGTGCAGGATCCCAGCGGAGAGCGAAGGCGCATAATCGTCGCTGCTTGGTTGTTTCAGCTGGAGGAGCAGTCGGGCACGGGTGCGATAGACAGGGCAACTCCATTCTGGAGGGAGGCAGCGGCACCGATAGGGCTGGCGAAGCTTACGGGGTCGGCCCCAGGGGCGGCATCATGGACTCTCACCAGCAGCAATTCTGCCTCAAGTGGAACAGCTTCGGCAGCAACCTCGCCACCGCCTTCTCCAATCTCTTCAAAAGCGAGAGCCTCACCGACGTCATTCTCTTCTGCGAGGGTAAGTGGCGCTCGGCAGCTTCTTTCGTCACTGCGCGCGGTTGCGCAAGCTCTGCTCGGGAAACCGGCGAAAGGGCCGCCGCGCTTGCTTGCGAAAGCGCGACCCATTGGTTCGAGCCCAGGCGCCGCGTTGGTTTCGCAACGCCACGCGCGCTTTCACCGCGCGCGTTTCCCGTCGTCCGATTTCCCATCGCGAGATCGCGGCCGAGGGTCCGCACAGCGACGGCCCCACGGTGCGAGCGGACGGAAAGATGGAAAGCGCGCGTGCGAGTCTCCCGCGGCGAACGGCCATGTTCGCGGCAGGCGAAAAAACTGCAACGTGGGATGCACCGCAGCGCGAGATTGGCTGCAACTGGTCTCGCGCATTCGCCGCCCCCTCTCCAATGGCGAGCGCCGAGCGCGCGCATTCGCCAACCGCCGCCTGCATTGGCAGATCTCCTCCTCTGCTCCTACTCGGCCTCTGTGCTGCTACGCATAGTCGCGCGTCCGTGCAAAAACCGAGTCGAGGCGTTCGCCAAGTGCAGTCGCCTCGGTGCGCTCGCGGGCGCCGTTTCCCATGCAGTGCGCGCGCGCAGGCCGAGCCCTCGCCGTCTAGTGCGCGACTCTCGCTTCCCTTCGTCCCTCGAGAGTTGACCGATCGTTTCTCGGTGAAATCAAGTCGAACGGCCATCGGAGAATCAGCGAGACACGCGCGTGTTTGCCGAATCAGCGGGGATATGCCAATGGTGAATAGCATCTTATTTTTTGCGTCTTGTCAAAGTTCAGCAAGGCTGCAAGCCGACCGCGAACGGTCGTTCGGGCATTATCCGTTTGGTGCCTCTCGTGCCGATAAGCGCTGCGGAAAGACTGCAATTCCATTGACGTTCTCTTTTTATTCTCAAGACTTGTGTATAGGTGCGTGCATGTGCCTAAGCGAGTACAAACCGATTAAATAAAAGAACCGACCATTTTTTACTCTCCAAGTTGACTCTCCTTCGTGTTTTCTTCTCCCAAATTCTTTTGTTTAATTTAGATAACACATTTTGCCCATATGTCTTTTATGAATATTATTTTAGTTTGAATAAGCTATTGTTTCGTCGATTTCCTATCAACAATTGCTATGTACGATCTCGTACTTCGTTTGGACAGGCTCGAGATATCGAAATTGCGCTAATAAAGAGAAAAATATGATTTGGGAGCTCGTGATCGTTTGCGAGCACCTTGATAAGAAGTGGCATTCGCGTCTCGCTGCCAACTGTACATTTTACCAAGTCGAAATTAATGAGCGTATCAATTCCTGAAAAATAACTCTAGTTGAATGCGAGCTGCGCGGACGCGCGTGCAAGAGTTGACAGCGATTGATTAATTTGATCAGCGCTCTCTCATAGTCGTGCAAAAAATTCAGTGAGGCCAAGTCGACTTGCATGATAGATATTGTTCGAGCGGCGATAGACGAGGCGAGTTGTAGCGATAGAAGCAGAGAGAGAGAGAGGGAGAGAGAGGTTAGGCAAGCACGAGCGGCCAAAAGAAGCCAAAGTAGGTCTGGGTTACAGTTAGATCTAACAGTGTTCGCTGCCGCTAGAAGGGGCCGCCCGCTTGGCGAGTGCTCATACGCGATGCACGCGGCGCTACGTCCGCTCTCGACGAAAAAAAAAAAAAAAAAAAAAAAAAAAAAATAAAGAGCCACGGCCGCTACGCATATTACGCGTACTTGCTGCTCTTTGTGCGCTGTAGGCCTCGCGCGCATGTAACTGCCGATGACGCCACCGCTCGCCCATTGTCCCGAGGCGCACCGCCACGAACAGAGAGCCCTCGGCAAAAGTGCAATGAAATATTTTCTTTTTTATGCTTTTTTCACGCCCTCCATACGTGCATGTTGTCGCGTTTTTACGACATCTTCGTACCCGTTAACCGAGGCGCGACCGAGAACTTTACGATGTGAAACTGTCACGGCTTAGCTTCCCGAAGCTCTGTAGTTTCACACGTTCGCATTCGAAATATTTGTCAAACAATAGTCTTTTAGTTAAACTTATTTTCTCTGTTTTATAATGGCTCCATAGCAGCTTTCCACTTATCAAACCGTCGTTGTGATAACGGCTCGTGTTACAAATCAATAAATGAGCGCTTTCTTCTCGTACATTGCTCGGCTCTCAGTCTCTTTCTCTCGCTCCACTCAATAAAATACAGAGAACTACTCGCGTATCGTCTCGTAAGTACTACGCCGATACGCGGCGATAAATCAGAAGGGACGGTCACTTGATGCAAACATCGAGAATTTTAAATTCCAATGAAAGTCAACGAATCGCCGCGCATCGTGAGCTTTGAACGAGAAAATCATTGATCAAATCAATGTCGTCGCGGGTGACAAGGAAAAGCAGCCGCGCACTAAAAATCAAACGAGTCGTCGTTCGAGTCGGAAGATGCGTGCGTGCGCGCTGCGACCCACATACTATGTATAGAGAGATAGAGAGAGCAAAGTAGGTCATGGGGTCCGCTGTGTGCAGCGAGCACCGAATTATCGACTGCGTTGCGTTACTGCTGCGTGTCTATACGCTGCCTAACGCGGCGCGCCGTCCAGAGAGGAAAACTGGGACGAGCGCTTCTCGCTTGGTTGTTCTTTCTCTTTTTTCCTTCGGCGATGCAGCAATACATCCGTTCGCGCGTTGCTGGATCCGAGCCGAGCGCACGTGTACGAGGCGCCGTTTCGGTAATTGCGCGGGAGCTCAAAGATGCATCGACGTGTAATTGAACTCGTAGACCGGGATGAAGCTCGTTTCTCGATCGAATCATTCGTTTTTCACAATCGCTGTTTATACAGCTAGCGTAGAATCTATTTCAAGTGGGCGCACATAGTCGTGCAGTCGCGTCTCTCGCCGTAACGACAATGAAAAATATGAGCTTGTGGCCCGGTTTCCATCGATAGTTCATGCTACAAGTGTATATTCAGTGCTGGGATGCGAACGCCTGAGAGTTTTCGTCATCGTTCCAAGGGCGGAATCGCGCTTAAAATATCGCCCACACAGCCCGACATAGATGCGTTACAAAACCGCGGCTCTGTTCGGCCCCCACGAAGCCAATTTAATTATTGCACCCAGAATAGATCGTTTCTCTTCTGCTATCCGAATATATATAGATGAATCGAGCGGTTCGATCGGCCAAGTGAATAGCACGCGCGCATTTGGACGCACTAATGGTTACGCAACGGCAGGCGCGTGTAATACACGACTCTGCCACGCAACCCGTGAAAATTGAGCAGAGCGAGAGAGGTATTGCGGTCGATCGTTAGAGAGGAAGGAAAGACGAGTGGCAATGCGAAAGAGCGAGAAAGCGAAAAACGGGACACAATACGAAAAAGGAAGAGAAGAGAGAAACACAAGCGAGCGCGCTGGTCGCACGTGCGCGCGGGTGCAAGGCACTTGACCATGCCGAAAGAAGTCAAGGAGCCGGTAACCTTGAGCGCGGGAAGCACAGTGTGGCGCGGACGCAGAGGTGTGTGACCGGCCAGAAGAAGAGAGCTACACGCCAAGTTTGCGGGGGCAAGGAGCGAGGAGGCATAGCCAGCAAACATAGCGATAAATAGATACTGCCCAACGGGGAGATGGACTGCGTTGGTGGAGGGGCCGCGTATACGCGAGCACTCGGCGCGGAGAGGCAGATTGCGCGAGCCGACTATGAGACAAAGAGCAGTGCTGCTGCTGCTGCTGCTGCTGCTGCTGCTGCTGCTGCTGCTGCTGCTGCTAGCAAAGTTTCACCGATATCAATACGCTCTCACGGGCCATCATTTGGAATTCCTCGGCATCTCTTCGTTGCCAAAGCACGTATTTTCCCTTGCGTGTTTAGCATAATGCCACTTTTATTGAATTTTGATAAGACTACCTGCTGCTTTTAATTCGCTTTCAACGTTATTTATTGATTGTTGATTTTTAACCAATTTTCTTCGATTATGTTAAATAAAACAATTCAAATGAGCAAGCATCGCTCCCCGCTTCTTTCTTCTTTTGCAAACCAAGAGGAGCTCTAATGATCGGTAAAGGAGTATAGAAAACGGCAAGCTCGTGAGTCGCACAAAAGCATCGAGCTGCGAAACAGAAGAGAAAAAGAGCAGCGAATAGCAGAGCAAAATAGTAAGATATAGAGAGAGGGCGACGAATCGCAGAGTAGGTCGACTCTTAAAGAGGGAGGAGGGCGCAAGGGGCAGGAAGAGCGAGCGAGAGAGAGAGAGAGGCAGAGCAGCCGAGTGAACGCACTGTAGGAAAGCAAATACACAGAGCACGAGCAAAGTACGTACTTCCTGGGGAGTCAAGGTTGGCACTTTGATGCAACAGGATCTGACGGACCGTCGACATGCCTCTGATTTTTTTTTGATTTTTCGATTTTTTCACTTTCCGTCTCTGTACATGCGCATGTACCTGTGATCACGGCGCACTTTAGCCATTTAGCTTGTTCCAAGTTTCACTTCCACGCTTAAGCGTATATTTACTTTCGTCTTGGACGCAATTGCAGAACTGTAACTGTGTTTTTCGACCAAGTATGCCTTGGACTCGTTGAGAAACTCGAAAACTTTCTCAAGTTTTCTTTTCGTCGTTTCTTTCATCTCGGGAAATTGGAGAAACTTGAGAAAGCAGCTGGGATTCTCGAATGAGGATGCAATTATATAAAATTGAAATGTTGTCCGTGTAGTAGAGCTCTCTACGTAACTGTACTTATTTCAAAAAAATTCAAATTTTTAACGGTCTGCATGATATCACTGCGGGTGCTCTCTCTCTCTCTCTCTCTCTCTCTCTTGCCCAGATTCCGCCGGCGTGCCGCGGCGATAAACCCGAGTGATGCCTATCTCGATAGTACGAGTTTTCTAATGAATGCAAGTGAGCACATGGCGAGTTATGGCTCACGGCTCTCTGCTCAAAGCACGAGAAGACATGACTTGCACGCGCGCGGAGTGCCAGGGCGAAGAGAGGATGACTCCACAGTTGCGAAAGCCCGGCCGCGCTGGCGGCTCGACGGCGCACCCAGCGAGAACGA